TTAGGCACAGTGGAGGCAGGAAAGAAAACCCTTCTGAAAATCACAACGTAATTACTCCCATCTGCTCCAGCACTGCTTCCCATTTCTGCCTGCCAGGATGCTTGTCTCTGATGCTAAGTAGCACATTATTTTCGATAAGTTGCAATCATTTACTTGAAGTCTCCTTCTCCTTTAAAACATCCCCCTGGAAAAGCAGTTCAACAAGTTGGGAATGGGCAGAAACAACCACGATAAAACCCGTGCAGAAGCAGCCAAACTTGGGAGGGCGAGCATTCCTCATGGACTCATTAAAACCAACCCAGCAGGTTCCTTTGTAGGGTGGGTTTGTTTAAATGGCCTTGGCTGGTGGTGTCAGCAAATGGGGCTGCAGAGGAAGTGCCAGCTCATGTCAGCAGAGGGAATCTTAACCAAGCAGTCACAGAAATTCCACAGGACCCTGCTTTTGACTGCTTTTTCTGACTTCCTTCATCGTCACCACCTGGGCTGGCATCATGTCTCACCACCACACCCTGAATCCTCTTGTGAGGGGCTGTAAGGAGCCTGGCCCTGCTTCCCACATCTCCTCAGCTGGAAGGCACTGTCTACAGCAGGATAAATTGCCCTCTCTGGAAGAAAGATGGAGCTGGAAGGTCCTTTGCTGTTGTCACTGCTAAGCCCCAGTGTCCTGCTTAGCTTCTGCCATCACCCCCAGCGTGTTTGATTGCCCTCATGATGTAGTTCTGTCTTTGTTGCCTGCATAGCTCTAATTTGGAGGGTTTGGAAGGGGTGAAGAGGAAAGAGTTACTAAGTGGAAATATTTTGGTGTGGCCTTGGAGAAGAAAGATGACTGTGTGCTCAGCTCCTATGCTTTTCAGATTCCTTTGGAAAAATGCTCCCAGGAAAATGGAGTAAAGTCGGGGATGGTGGCATGGAGCACCAGAGGAGTCTGGTACGCTCCTTTGTGGATTTCTTAGGTGTCTTCACAGCCCCAGGCCATCCCCAGAGTGGTGTTTGTTCCAGAGGTGCCTGGCAAGGGCTCTTTCTCCTTCCTTGTGCCCTGCACCCTGGCTGTAGCTCAGATTGAGTGACCTGAGGGGACACCAGGCACAGGTGCCAAGCTGTGGGGACATGTGGGGTGCTGGCTGCTCATCCCACGTGAGCATGGAGCTGGCTGGTTTGCAGGTGCTCCTTGGGGACGTTGTGGGAAGTATCTTGGAGCATTTGGAAGCTTTGGTGGCTCAAGGCACTTTCCATCCTGTGTCCCTGAATCGCAGGGCAGGCGAAGAGCCAAGGAGCTGTGATGCCTTCCTCGAGAAGGGAGAAGGAGCAAGTGTGGGAGCTGGGGGCCATGTCCCAGCTGCTGGAATGGGTCTCTGTGACCCAGCCTGGTGGCCTGGACCGCAGGCTGGTGGCTCCATGGTCCCCAGGTGCTCCCACTGCTGCCATCGGGGATGCTGAGCCTGTGACAGCCACGTTCCAGCTGGGCTGGGGACAGGCCACGTGCCTTGGGCTGACTTTTAAAACACACCCATATATATAACACACACACACACACACACACACACACATATATATAAGTATTTTTTGTGTGTGTGTATATTTACATCTAAAAATGCATTTTGATCAGCAGGGGACCTGGGCGAGGGCTGAGCACCATCTAGTGGCAAGCACCACGGCTCAGCAGGAAAGCAACCAAGGACAGAAAGTCTTGCAGGAATTTTCCTCCCCCCCGGCTGCCAGTCACTATCTTTTCTTTTTGTTCTTCCTTTTTTTCCCCCTTTCTTTAATCAGGAGCAGCAAACGGGGGGTCCTGAGGATGCCTGGGTGCCTGCATGCCTGTAGCCCCTGCGACCACTGAGGATCATTCTGCTTCATTTATTCTGTTTTAATTTGGTGGCAAGCAGGGTTCTTTTGCCACCAGCTCCCCAGGCACTACAGGTTGGGTAAAATTAAAAAAAAAAAATATTTTGCTGCCAAACCCATCCCAAACCCCCCAGCCAGCAAAGCCTCATGCCATCACAGGGGGCAGTTTGGAGGGTGGGAGCTGCCAAGGAGCCCAACATTCCAGGCATCCTGGCAGGAGGTGTGTCAGAGCTGGGTCCAGCACTGGGAAGATAAAAAAGGAGCTTTTAAATAATCATTTTGTCTTCTCCTCGGCTGAGCACAGCCTTTCAGGGATAAATAAGTAGCATCAGTCCTGCTTAGACACATGGGCCTTTCCATTTGTTTACTCTCAGGCTTTATTCTGAGAGCAGCCAAGCCCAGGCTGGGTTCAGGTCTGTGCTGTGGGGACACATCTCCTCCATCGGGTGCTGCTCTGTGCGTGTGGCACAGGAATAAAGCTCTCAGGAATACACAGCACTTTTCATCAGGAAGCAGCTCTCTAAACATAAACTAATTAATCACTCGTGCCTACCTGTCAGGTCAATGATTCCTGAGATTTTTAATCTAAAAATATTTCCCTTTTGAAATCCAGATGCGCCTGTTTTGGCAACTCCGCTTTTGATTTGTTTATTTGAGGTGTTTTTTAATATTTTTTTTTTTTATTTTTAACCTGTGTTGCTTTCCTTTTGTATGTGGGCTTTTGATCTGATTTAATTGACTGATATTTATTCCTTTTTTTTGTCCTGGAAGAATAGGAATTTGTTCTCTTTATTTTCATGGCAAGTCTCTCTCCCTGCTGCATCCTGTCAACTTTCCTCTTCTCTTTTTAAGGGATTTGGCTACTTTTGCCTCATATTTCAGTTTATGGACCATAGACCCCAAACCATTTTCTTGATGAAATCTGTCCTCTCCCCTTGGATCTATTTATCATGGCTGGGTGCCATGGGAAGCCTCCCGTGGAGGGGGGAGATGCTGGTCCTGTCTCCCGAGGGCTCAGCTTCAAATTTGGCACTCTGCCCTCATTCCTCCACACAGAAATGATCCTCCCTAGCGTGGAATTATTTATTATTAGTTCCAGTTTTACTGTTCTTGGGCTTTTTTCTGCCCACCTTCCCACCTTTGTTGACAGTGCATATTTTAATCATGAAAAATGCCAATAATGCATGAATGAATAACTGATCCGAATGTATGAATAAAATAAAATTAGATGAATGAGTGAAATGTCCTGAAAATAGTAATTTCAGTCGGCTTTGAGGCCTTTTTTAAAAAGCCTTTTTTAGTCTTACCCAAACCTCTCAACAGGGTCTTTTACTTCAGTTTTATACTGATAATAGCTGTATCTTTAACTTATTACAGAGTGGGGAAGACCATACCAGGTGCTTGCTGGGGTTTTTTTAGCTGCTCTGATTTTATTTCTTGCTGCAAACAGATCTTCCACTACTTTTTTATTTTCAATGACAGGAATAATCACTTGCTTTTTTTTGTGGCATGGATTGAGAGGGGGTCAAATTCATCTCAGGTGTCAGTGGGGCACGGTTTTATCAAAACCCACACAACATTTCCCAGCTCTGGATGTGCAAAGAGTGTGTGCTCATAGGGTGGTGTGTGTGCTTAGAGCCCCTGTGCCAGATGAGATGGGGAAATACGATTGTTTTCCCTTAGGAAACACCTTTTTATATTTGCTCAATTAGGATTTATATTATTTATGTCATTTATGATGCAGCTGTGCATGTGGAAATCTCTCTCACGTTATCGTTCCGTGTTCGAACACAGACCATGGAGGGGGACACGGGGGGAGCACAAAGGACACCTCCATTTTTCAGACATGGGACATCCCAAGCTGTTGGGATGCTCCTATGTTGTTTTTCCAGGAAAGCCCTCACAGGAGAACTTCTACTTGGAGCAGTAATTTAGGCAGGAAGTACAAAGATGGGAGGAAGATTCTCTTTTTGAGAAGTCACTCTGGGAGGATTAACTCATTGTTGCTCCTTTTCTCAGCCTGGTTTAGACATCAGTGGAATGACTGAATTCTTAAAGAAAAGGCATTTTTCCAAGAATAAAACCTATTTCATACATTTTTTTGCTTATGTTCCCAGTGCATGGCTAAAAGCATGGACCTCAGGCCCTCTCCACAGTCTGTATTTCAAGATGTGGAAGCAAAGGCACAGCTGCCTTGGGCTCTCTGTGTCTTTCTCTGCCATCTGGGGTTGATGTAAATGACATGTTGGGCAACATGAGAGGACCCCTGAGCAAGATGAGATCAGGGCTAGAGACTTCCAACTTCCCATCCCATGCTTGAGTCAGGATATGGTCCCTATCGCTTCTGGCAGCAAGCATGGGTACATTTGTTGGGTTTTTAAGTTGCTGTTGCTAGGAGTTTTGCTGCTTGTTCGAGCAGAAAGTGTGGCTGGCTTTCTGGGTTAGCTCTGTGGTGAACTCACTGCCAGTTCTGCTCTACTTCTGTCCTGAGGGAAGGAGGGGAAGAGGTAGGGAGAGGAGCAGGGAGCTGGAGTGCCCCTGGAAGCCAAGTAGTGATGAGTGAAGCCAAGCTTGGTGATGAGTACTTGGAGCATTCAGCTTGCCTGTTGGGAATCCTGTTGGGAAGGAAGAAAATCCCTGCTGATGGGGTCAGTCCAACCTGGGTTTGATGCCTAAGGAGGCTGGCCTGGAACAGAGGCTAGACAGTGTTAAAGGAATAAAGTAGGGATTTATTAAAAGGCCTTCAAAGGATTCGCCTTGAGCAGTGCAAGAGCCTGGCTATGGCTCTGCCCAAGATGGACTCAAAGTCATGAGTTCTCACACTTTTATAAGTTTTGGTCCATTCCCATATTTGGGTTCATTGTCCAATTACAGGTTCAGGTATGAAGTCCCATCCTCCCAGACTGCTCTCCTCAATTCACTTTTTGGGCTTGAAGCTGCAGCGGTGTCCTTGGTTCTCGGGCTGGAAAAGGATTGTTTTGTCCAGCTAAACTGTGAAGAGAACTTCTTAACACTTTATATGAGGTTCAGAGTCATACACTAAGGCAGTACAGAATCTGGAAAATACGAAAGCTAAACTTAAGGCATCAGGATGAGCTTCCCCGAGTTAAGCTCCAGGTGTGACTCAGGCTTTCCTTTCCCCATTGTGTCTCCTGCAGTGCTGAGCATCCGGGGTGCACAGGAGGAGGAGCCCACGGACCCCCAGCTGATGAGGTTAGACAACATGCTGCTGGCCGAGGGGGTGGCGGGCCCCGAAAAAGGAGGGGGCTCGGCCGCCGCTGCCGCCGCCGCCGCCGCCTCCGGAGGAGCCGGCTCCGACAACTCCGTGGAGCACTCTGACTACAGAGCCAAACTCTCCCAGATCCGACAGATCTACCACACGGAGCTGGAGAAGTACGAGCAGGTAACAGGCTCCTTCGTGGTGCTGCTCCTTCCTGGGGTGCGGGGGCAGAGCGGGAGAGCTGCCGGCACAGCCCGGATCACTGCTTACATCTGTTGTTAGCAGTGCTTGGGCAAATGGCACCGCGTGCTGGACTGAGAATATGCTCTTTTTTAGAGTTTGGAGGGTTGGGGTTTTATGCTGGGATGTGATGTGAGAATAGTCTTGGCGTGGGTTGTCCTTTGGATTTTCACTTTTCACTCCTGTCCTGATATCTTACCCAGAATTGGCCCTATGAGGCCATCCTGGCCTCAGTGATGACAACTGTCCAAGCAAGACTTGAACCAGAATCTTCCTTGAATACGTTTTCTGCTTGAAAAGCTCTTTTTTCCAGGGGAAAAAAATCTTTTTTCTTGTAGTAAATTACCCTTAAAAAGAAAAACTACTTGGGTCATGAACACAGCTATTGGTAACACTGACAATTTCATGAAAAGCTTTGCAGGTCAGTTCTCAAAACCCGTTCCTTTCAAGTGCTTCCAGATGTTTTGCAAACCTCTCTTGGCTGCTGTACACCTTGCCCTTGTGGTTTCTACCCCAAGGTTATGGTTTATGGATGTGAGCAAGAAGGCATCACTTCTCTGGGTGCAGGACAAGCTCCACTGCCAGGAGCCAGGTGGTCTTTAAGATATCTGGTTTAGAGCCAGTAAAAGCCTCCATTTTACCTGGCTAACTGGATGTGTGATGAGGCTGGGGGATGTCTCACCCCCATGGCCACATTGGCCAAGGGAAGGGTGCCCCAGGGTTAGAGCTGGAGTGAGGGTGCTCTGGAAATGGAGCAGCCAAGCACAGTCATGCCATGAGAGGCAGAGCCTTAGGGCAGGCAGGGAGCAAGGTTGGAAGGATGACCTTTGGTGGCTCTCCTCAGCCCTTGCTGTCACTCCCTTGAGGCACAGAGACAGGGAGAAGCCTCAGCCATGCCACATGGATGGGAGTGCAGAGCAGTCAGGGATCCTCTTTTGGGCTGAAGAGGGGTAGAGAGGCCTCATGTCCTCTGGTACCCAAGCCCAAGGAGAGGCCCTTGGCAAAGACAGGGGCAGTCTTCAGGGAAGGACCTTCTGCTTCTTCCTCCCCTTGGGCAGGACTTTTGTCTGTTTGATGTTCTGATCCTGTTTTTGCTTCACTTTTGCTCCTCAAAGAGACACCCAAATGAGAGAAGCCTTTACCAGGCCCAGAGGGTAGGATGGGCCACATCTTTCCTTCTCACAACCCACTGGCAGGGTTTAGCTTTGTCACTGAGTGGCTTTGCAAGTGGCTGTGCTGGTCCACATCTCTGGTACCATTGCCCACAGTCCCACAACACCAGGGCCCAGGGTTTTTCCACCTCCTTCCCACTCTCTCCAATCCAGCTATTGGGAGCTCAGTCCCTGGCTTCTCAGTCTGGCTGCTGCTGGGTCAGTATGGCACTCGGTGGTGATTTTGCCTCTAATGCTCTTTATTTCATGCCAAGAGGAGATGATGTGGAATGTCTGGGGTGTCTGGGAGCAATGAGATGTCTGGCTGAGAGCTCTGATAGCCAGCACTCACCCTGGGAGATGGGAGTCAGCAGCTGGAGCTGGGGATGGGCAGTTGGAGGGGCTCTGCTGGCCTTGGGGATGTCTCCTTGTTGGGTCTGAGCCATGGTGGGAATTCAGCTTGCGAGGATGGGGCAAGACACAGCAAGTCAAGCCCGTGTCACCAGTCCACAAATGAAGTGTTTCTTCCCCCTGCCAGCCCCTTCTCCCCCATCATGGGGTGGGAGCTGCAGACACTGTCCCCAGAGCAGCCACCCACATCCCAGGAGCAGCACCAAAGGCTTCTCCAGCCATCATTGTCCCAGTGCTGCCCCTGGTTTGTGGGGCTTAGTTCTGGGAATCAAGAGGATCCCATCATGCCAGTGAGGTGCTCATGGGGATGGAGGAGAGGGAAGTGAAGTGGCCTTGATCTGGCCTCAAAATCCCTCCCTTTGTCTCCTGGCTCCTCTCGCTGCCCTGTCCTCACAGCACAGCATGGGGACAGCAGGAGCAGCCAGACAGTGCTGTGCCAGCAGCAAACTAATTGGGATTGTTACCTGTTTGCCCTTATTTGTCAGGGCTCCTGCCTCACTCAGGCTTTAATTATTATCCTTATTTACTTCTTACCTGATGTGCCAAGAGCACAGAGCAGGGCCATGTCTCTCTGGGAGCTGCTCCTGTGAAGCTCAAGGGGCTCTGCAGGACACATGGTGGGGCTGTAGGAGGGGGGGCAGTGGGTCCAAAGGTTCATGGTCCTCCTCAGATAAATCTACAGCTCCTCCAGTCACAACCAGGAAAGCAGTGGCTGGGACTTCTTCATGCTTTACATAAATCCTAGAGCTTCATCTGCCCCAGCTCTATCCATGATCCCCCTGAGAGCAAAGAAATTGGCTCTTGGCTTTCCCAGCCTGTTTGTTGGGAGTCTCTCACGCCCCGTGCTTGGCAGAGCAGGGAAATTTCTCTCTCTGGTGCCTGTTTTGGCTTAGCTAGAAACAGAGGCCAGACAAAGTTAAAAGGATAAAAGTGGATGTATTTAATGAAGGGCCTCCAGGTACATTAAGGGCAGACGAAGCCTCTCCAAGGGGCTACACCTAAAATGGACAATGGTCACGAGTTTTTCAGACAGATACAAGTTTGGTCTCTTTGCATATCAAGAGTTATTTCTCCAATTACAGCTTCGGGTAATGAAGTCATATACCCCCAGTTTGCTCTCCCCAGTTCACTTTTGTTTATACTTTTTGGGGCCTGGGGCTGTAGGGTGTCCTTGGATCTCAGGCCTAGAAGGATTGTTTTGTCCAACCAAAATGTGAAGGGAGTTAACTATGACTCTATATAGAGTTTAGAGTTACGCAGTAATGCAGTACAGGATTTGAAAAACATAAAAGCTGAGATCTTAAGGCATCATCTCAGCACATTGTTGCTCTGAGCCAGCGAGGCTTGCACTTCCATATCCACGCTGCCTCTGCCCTGTCCTTGACACCACCGAATGACCTTCCCATCCTGGGGTTTCTTTTGCTTTTCCTGCCATGCCAGGCGTGCAACGAGTTCACCACGCACGTGATGAACCTGCTGCGGGAGCAGAGCCGGACCCGGCCCATCTCGCCCAAGGAGATCGAGCGCATGGTGAGCATCATCCACCGCAAGTTCAGCTCCATCCAGATGCAGCTGAAGCAGAGCACGTGTGAAGCCGTCATGATCCTGCGCTCGCGGTTCCTGGACGCACGGTGAGCCCGCCCCACCAAACCTTTCTGCAGCGTCCTTCGGGGCTGGGGGGTTTGTTGGTCAGGTGTGCTGGTTCACAGAGCTGGCTGAAGGATTGTGTCTTGAGCCAGAGGGGTTTTTTGCCTTCTTTTATCCCAGGGGAGGGGACTGCCATTCAAACCATCCGTTGGTAAGGCTCCCAGCTGTACCTCGAAAATTGCACATCCTAGTTTTGCTGTGGCAGAAGGAAATGCTGTGGACATTTTTATTTTTGCAAATATTGCAACAAGCTCTCTGCAGTGAAAATCTTTCATCCAGTTAGGGATGAAAGTTTATCCTCCAGGCAATCCTGTCCCCCCTAGATTCCCACTGTTTTCCCACTGTTTTTATTGTCCCAGATTTTCAGATTGCTGTAAAATTACTTCATTTCCCAAGCTGGTTAGGTGCAGGCTGCAGCTTGGGCTGTAGCTTGAGATGGGGAGGGGAGGCAGCTACACCAGGGGTACAAGGAAAGAGATGGCAGACAGGTAATAAAGCCTAGGTGTGAATGGAACAGACTTCCCCAAGGATATATCCAGCTCTGCTTCCCTCAGCACGGAGCTTTGCAGAGTAGCACTGATGTCTTTGGCCACGACAGCCAGGTGTCAGGAGTCACCTTCCCAGGTGGAGGAGCTGGATGCCAGTTTTCAGACTCTGATGTGAGCTGGAGGATACAGTGATAAATTTGAGGTGGAGACTCGCTCGCTTTGAAAGGTGCTGAGAGAGCAGTCACCAGCAAGGGACAGATAAGAAACATCCTGGCCATGAGTCTGGCACTCTGTGCTCAGAGAAGCAGAGGGGGGAGGGAGGAGAGTGGGAAACTCAAGAGTATCTAAAATTGCATTCTATTTTTGGATCCCTGGTGCTCAATCCCTTTCCTTTTCCTTCTGTTTCCCCCCATTCTTTCTTCACATGAAGGCGGAAGAGACGAAACTTCAACAAGCAAGCCACGGAAATCCTGAATGAGTATTTCTATTCCCATCTCAGCAACCCTTATCCCAGTGAGGAAGCCAAAGAAGAGCTAGCCAAGAAATGTGGCATCACAGTCTCACAGGTGAGAGAGCTCAAAGCCTGGACTAGTGGGAAACCTCAGCATGGGGAAGGGTGTTCCAGACCTCAGACCAGTCAGCCATGTCCAGTGTTGTGCATTTAATTATTAAATCAGTTTAGTTCAAGTTAGTGAGAGTGGATGGGAGTGCAGATGGCACTTGCAGATTGAAGCCATGAATGAAAAAGGAAAGGCTGAGAGCAGATTTGGGAGGTATGAAGGCTCCATGGAGCAGTGGCTCTGTGTGCAGCCACAGTTGTGTTGACAACACCAAAATGATGTGGCAGCACCCAGAGGGGCAAAGTCTCATCAAGGAATTAGTGCTGGCCTGGCCTGCAAAGAAGAGCTTGTTTGATCTGAAAGTCCTTTCTTCAGGGAATTAAAAGCAGTAGGAAGAGTTATGCAGGTTTTGCTTGATAAGGTAGAATGGACAAGTCCTGGTAGGAAGGATTTGGGTGTAACTGTTAGAATTTGTTAGAATTTGAGGGTGGGATTTCTCAGGGTCGTTTCTCTCAGTCATTACCCTTGTGCTGCAGAAGATGACATCTCCCTGACTTGCACATCCCTCAGAACACAGTGGTTAGTAAAGACAAAACGAATTATTTCCATATGTTAAGGAAGCCACATAGTTCCTGGAGTCTGTAGCTTTGACCTGGGAGCTGCTGTGATTTGTGAGGAGCGCAGTCAGCCCTTGAAATGTTCGGCCATACATTGCTCAGGCCTGCCCTTCTTTATTTCCTCTTTTTCTGGAGCAGGCTGAGTGACTGAGAGCCAGTCTTCGTGGCCTGCGCTGGGCTTGTCCTCACGTGAGCTTAGCAGCCCCTCTAGGCTCCCGTGGCATTCCCTGTCTTGGGCTGCTTCCCAGCCCCAGGCACGTGCCTGCTCGTCACTTGAGTAAACTGCAGACAGCAGTAGCATCTGGTGTCCTTGTGGGAGCGTGTCTGCCTTCAGCAGGAGCAGCAGCATCCAGGGCTAGGTGTCATCACCGTGCTGAGTGCCTGCTGAGTGACTCCAATTGCCTCCCCTGGGCTGCAAGACCCAAACCTTGCTTCTTCCCACAGTTACCTACAGGAGACAGCACATATTGGCTTAAGTAAAGCTCCAGCTGTCCCAGTGCTTCCCCTCTCACTTCTAATTCATCTGTTCACACTTACAAGTTCTCCTTTGCAAAGACAAAATGCCCAGGAGAAATGCTGCGCCTAGGAAGTGTTTTTGAGCGTGCTGAATCGAGGCTGCTTGGTGCCTGTCTCCAGGATCTGCCTTCCTTCTTCATCCAAACAAGGCAGAAACAAGCACACACCCAGGTCTGGTTTTGCTGAGACTGAGTGGGAACAGAGGTCCCATGAATGTGTGCAAGTCATGAGCAGAGTTGATCTGAACTCAGAGCCTGACCAGAATAGGCAGGTGCTTCACAGATTTTAAAATGAAGATAGATTGTGGTGGGATATTCCAACCTCCTGCCCTGTGGTGCTCAGAGTTCACCCAGGATGTGAAGCCAGAAGAGCAGTCATGAGGAGATGTGCATATGGAAAGATCATGCAGGAGCACATTGTCATTCGTGAGAAAGCTGGACCAAGAGGTGGGATGGAGCTCCTTGCCAACAGCACCAGCTCCTGGCGGTGCCATCAAAGTGTTTGCTGCCAGATCTGGGCTGGGTGCTGATCTGAGTCTCTGCAGGTTATATTTTCTCTTTCCTGCTCTGCAGCATTGGATACCTGCAGCTCAATAGCCATTGAATTGGTGGATGAAGCCACTTCTGTGTGGAAGCTGCTGAATGCTCTAATAGCACTGCAGAAGAAAGCAGCACAGGATTTCAGTTATCACATGGGTTTCAGTTATCAACACCCAAGCCCAAGCCATTTCCCTAAGATAAGGAAAAATTCATGGGCTTCAAAGGATGAACATCCATTATTGTCTTCTATGTCTTGGGTACTTGCTCAGTTCATTTGGAAGAGGGAGCACTGATGTACTTGCTCTCCAGCAAGCAAAGGGAGAATGTCCTTGGAATCTCATCAAAGGGATTGGTCTTGCTAGCTCAAGGTTGCAGCTCCAAGCAATTCTAGGAGTGTTGGAGCTTTTCTGGAGAGCTGCAGCATCCTCCTCATTTGCCCATTCCCTTTATCCTGATAAGCTTTCTCAAACAAAGCAGTAGCTGGAAGTTGTCTTCTGCTTAGAGCCCTGCACACAGGAAGACATTACCCTGATTCTCTGTGCTCAGTGCTGATGAAGAAGAAGCTGAGAGCTGTAGGGTTGAATCTTTCCCATGTCTTCTCTGAAACAGTTCAGTGTGAGATAGTGCCCACGAAGGAACAGGAATATCATCAGCATGTCTCTGGGCAAACACGGTGGAAACATCTTCCACCCCTTCCCAAGGCACACACTTCTTTCCTGGGACCAAAATTAGGTTTTAGGACAAGTCCTGTGCTCCTTCTCCATTCTTCCCCTGAAGTTCCTGGCTCATGCTAAACCTTGCAAAGCCGAGCTTAGCCAGATGAAGAGCATCCACTTCTGCCTTTGTGCCCTGATTTCCCTCAGATGAATCAAAAGAGAGCTCTGGTGATACTGAGGCAATTTTGTGTGTCAGCCAGGCCCCAGTCAGTTCTCTGACTGTTCTCCCTCAAAGCTGTGCTGGTAATCAGGGCATCTATCCCATCAAAGGGATACTGAGGAGGAGGCAAATAAAAATGACTCATACCTGTTATCAAATCGTGCAATTTCGGGGTCATTTGACTTTGTCATATTTTTTTGAATCCATCTTAAGACTTTTGTGGGGTGGGTCTAGTGGTTCCTGTGGAGCATCCCATCTATAGGAGAACCAGCTAGATCCACACAAACCCAGTGCTCCCAAGGGGCTCCCATCACCTTTCCTGGGCTTGGTGTGGCACACACAGGTGGAAAGTGCTAGGAAAACTGGGGGAGGGAAAGAATCTGCTCTGCTTAACCTGAACTAATCCACCTCCCTCACCCAGGTGCACTTGGCAGAGCTGAAACCTTAACGTCCTTGTCTTCTCTTGAACTCGCTCTAGGTATCAAACTGGTTTGGAAATAAGAGAATCCGGTACAAGAAGAACATAGGTAAATTTCAAGAGGAAGCCAATATTTATGCTGCCAAAACGGCTGTCACGGCTACCAACGTGTCAGCCCATGGAAGCCAGGCTAACTCACCCTCAACTCCCAATTCAGCTGGTTAGTCCTGATTTTTCTTTTACTTTGGGTTGTTAGTGTTGGGGTTTTTGTTCGTTCTCCCCTCTCCCTCTAATCTCTCTCTGGTTTTCTCCTTTTGGTTATTTTGGCTTTTATTCTCTGGGTCTGATGTGCTCATTTTTGTGGTCTTAAAAAAACAAAAAAGGGAAATGGGTTTGGTGGATTTTTTGTGTGGGGGTTTACTTTATTTTCTTTACTTTTTTTCCTCCCATTTTCTCCTTTTTTTCCCCCTCTTCCCCTTCCCTGTTCTGTTTTTTGTTGGAAAAAAAGGATGTGGTCAGACCTTGTGACCGGTGGTGTTAATGGTGGGGGTTATATGCATGGATGGTAAACACAAAACCAGAAAATGGTCCACAAATCATAGCTGGGATTGCTTGCAATTTGGGGGAGAAAAAAAAAAGTAATAGAAAAGTTATTGCATAATGATTTTATTTCACTGGGGCTGAAAGCATGAGTGATCCTAATGGACAAACCCCAGCATTTCTGAGATGTCCTAGCTCATGCCATTTTGGGGGTTGCTTTGGGTATATTTTTATCCTTTGATTTACTTTCTGTTGTGGTTATCTCTTTGATTGCTTACATGACAGTGTCTGGATCACCTGCAAGAGTGTGCTCTGTGTGAATTTTATTTTCCCTTCGTGTCAGTGCAATCCAGAGAAATTCATGGGTCGTTCCCTTCCCTTTCCCCCTTCCCTTCCCATTTGCTGTGGTTTCCATTTGTTTGTTTTGAGAGTCAAAGGCACAGAGCACTTTGCCCAGATTTCAACTCCTCTGCTAGAGAATGATGCTCAGTTCATGCGTGGTGCCTGCTGCAAGGTTGGCCAACCCAAAAATGATCAGGGGCTGTGGATTCAAGAGCAGTGGAAAATTGGGATTTTTTTACAAGGAGAGGAAAAAAAAACCAACAACTTCATGGGTGCCATGTATTTTGTAATCCATGCAAATATCTGTGTGCCTGCTTTCTTTTTAGGAGTGGGAGGGAGAGTGGGAATGTGCCACTCTTGAACTTTTGAGCTGAGTGTCTGCTCACAGTGCCATTCCCCAGGGATGTGACACTTGCTGTGATCAGAGAGGCAGGAAGGGAGCACAGAGGATGTTGGGCAGCAGCAGATGCTGGCTGCCATCAGGACATGCTTCTGTAGTGAGCACAACCCTGTCTCTGTAGGTATCAGAGGAATCACACTCCAGAAACACCCCTGGCTCTGGAGGATGTGAGTGGAAGGTGGAGAGCCAGGGGTCAAACAAAGGGGGGAAGCAGTGGCATGAGTGGCTGGGACAATCTCCCACCTCCTCCTTGCCCAGGACTGCCTGCTCTGGCTCAGGTGCTCTGAGGGCTTAGATGAATGCAGCAGAGCTCTGCAGAGACATTTTACTGGAGTTTTGTTTGATTCTTTTTGGTTTGGGGATTTTTGTTCCTCTCTTGTTCTCTCAACTGAATTTTCAAAAATGTCATTCTTTCCAAAGAGCTGACACAAAATACCTGGTCAGGTGGGCTCTCCTGATGTTAACACTCCCTGCAGAAAAGGCTGGAGGGAATTCTGCTTGGAGAGGGCAGGATTGTGTGTGTTGAGGGAGAACCTGCTGCCTGTGATGCTGTCCTGCAGCCCACATCAGTCTGGACCAAAGAGATGCAGCTTTCCTCCTTTTCCTCTTTCTTCAGCTGGAATCAGATCCAAAGGTCTGGAATAGCAAGGGAACAGCTTCAAATTGCCTGAGTGGGTTTGGACCTGGGCTGCACATAGGAGAAAAGCATTTCCTCAGTGCCTGACCAGTTAAATAGTGCTCCAGAGCAAGGCTGTTTCCTCACCCTCCCCACAGGCAGTAACGTGGTTGTTTCAGAGATAAATTGGCCAGTGCCCTGCAGTAAACAGCTGAGATAATCCCTAGATAACACTGTGCTTTCAAGAAAGGACAAACAGTCCTGTTATTAACAGGGAAAACTTGAGCTCCTGGGTCCTCTTTGTGGCTCACTTGTCTGCAGTCTGGAGTCATTGACCTCTTTTCACGTGCCTGAAGTGTCAGTGGTGCTAAAGCAGTGTGAGGGGAGCTGGCAGGGCACGGAGATCCTTCTTCTGCTTAGAAATAAAGTGCTCCTAACCTGGCCCAGGTCCCACACTCTGCCTGTAATGCTGCAACAGTGGCACAGCAGTGGGGAGGCCCCAATTGCTCTGAGTCAGCTTGCAGAGGTGTGGTGGGTTTGTGTGTCTTTGTAGGTCCTCTCCTGAGAAAACAGCTGGAATTGTGTGAGATTTTTATCTCCTGACAGTTGAGATCCTCCCAGCTGAACCACACAGATGTAACATCTCAGTTGAGCATCCCTGCATTGTCACATTTTGGGACAAAGACACGTCCTGAGGACATCATGTGATCTCCCCTGTTTCAAGGTGTCCTGTGGGTCCTAGCAGCAAGAAGCACACCTGTACATGCTAGGTCTGAAATACCTGCCTGAGAAAGATTGGGACAGTTGTGTCCAGGACCATGAGCCATCAGGTGTGCTGAATTCTCCAGGGACGATCATGGAAGCCTATGAAGAGGTGAAGAACTAAGATGGCCAATGCCTCTCCTTTTACACTGTGGACTTCTTTTTGTTCCCAGATCATTGGCTGAGACTTTGGTGAGGAAGTAGCCTGAACAAAGATAGGACTTTCTGGTTTAAATACATTATGGGGCATATGGAAAGAAACTAAGCAGATCATGAGAAAGAAATGACCAGCAGTGTAGTCCCTGGAGGGCTGTGATGTGGGAAGAGGAGGTGGAACTGGATGCAGTGGGACCTGGGACAGGAACTAAATTCATTTCTGCTGTGGCTACGCAGGCCCATCTGTTCTCTCATTGATGCCCATGTTACTGGAGATGGTGAATGGCTACAGTCAGTCAAAGAGATTGGCCACACATTGACAAGGGCAAGGATTGCATCTGTCTGGCCATCTGGCACGTTCAGAGCAGGGTCCCCCATCCTCAGTCACCCAGGCCTGAATGTCAAACACCTTTTCATCCGGAATACGCGCGGTTGGGCTTTATCAGCCAGATGTTCTAATAAGCTGAGAAGTCTGGCTCATTTGGGCTAACAACTCCCCATCCTCACTTTTATTTCCTGGACAATCTCAGCACAAAAACCACATGGCAGATGAAAGCTGGTTTATGTGGGCAGACCCTTTTGCCAGCCAGAGTCCTCAAGGGCCACATACAGGTGATGGCATCCAGTGAAATCTTGAATGCAGAGCACCAAAATGGTCCTGAGCTGTTTTGGTTTTTTTTACCTGCTCACTCTTTTTTTTGTGGAAATCTTGTGAAGCTGCTGCCTGAAAATGTACTTCATCAGGCACAGGTGTCTTCTCTGCCTTCCTCCATTTGTGTCCAGAACATACCACTGGAGAGGACTCTGCTTCAGCAGAGACTGTTCTGGTCATGGCTTCACTATGCTCAATGTTGTTTGGCAAGTGAAAAAGAACAAATGTCCTGCTGAATCATCCCTGGCTTTTGGACCTGCTTTGTGGCCTTGTCCAGCTAAGGAGCTACATAGTCCCTCACCACATTGTTCCCTCATTTTTGGCCACGGTAAAGACACCACAAAAAGTCACAGGAGGCATAAATCTTGTGCTCTCAATGCATGTGTGTCATTGCTGTTGGCTTCAACTAGGAATCTTGTAGGCATGACCAAAGTCACTTCAGAGGTTCAGTGTGCTGGATCTCTCTTGATGATGGTAGGTGGGATAAGGCAGCAGATGAGGATGGCTTGACTTCAGCTCCAGTGAACACCATTACCCTGCCTGTTTATTCGTGGTGCCATTTGAATTGTCAGATATTTTAGAGAAAAGTCCTTACTAGAAGTCCTGGAAAATTGGAGGTGGAAGTCGAGACTGTCAGAACACAGAAGACGTCAGAGAAGCTGGAGAAGAAGCTCTCTGAAGAGCTGGAAAAGTGATGCAAGATAATACCAGCGGTCAAGTTTGTGAAGGTTTTTGAAATGGAGGCAAAATTGAGGTGGGCTTTGCTCATCAGAGGTGTTAGTGGTGGAAGAAATCTCTTAGAAGGCATTGTTTTGATGTAGGCTTTCACCCAGGGCAAGATCTGACTGCCAGAGTTTGCTCAGACATTTCCAGCACTCTTCCTGAAGCTGGTGCTAGCCTGATAGGAACTCAACCAAAGAATAGTGGGGATAGGTCTTGGCTTTAAAAAGATGTCTGGATGCTGAAGATGAAGCACTCTTCCCCACTGCTACAAATCATGGGTTTTCTGATAGTTTCTTTTTGTCTACCCACAATAATTCCAGGGACTTGCACACCAAGATCAGAGCGCTTTCCTCCTGGGCTCACAAGCTCAAAGATGAGCTTCTCTCATTCACAACCTCTCAGTTCCTGAGGAACCCCAGACCAAATTACAACCACCAAAAGCCTGTGGTGCATTCAGGAAAAGAGCCTTTCAGAGGGACAGGTTAGATTTACAATGGGGCCACCGCTAGTGGAAGGACTTGTATTCCTGGCTCTTATCTCTGCAGAGGACAGCTGAGTCCAGATTTTTCAGGGCTCTTCACTCTGCTGCCCCCTCTCCCAGCTGGGTGCATCAGCCCCTCTTAGCTGTGCCTCTGAGGCTTTGGGCTGCTGTAATTTTCGGGTGAGTGCTGAAGCAGCAGTGGTGGTGCAGAGGGCTCCGCAATTACGCCTCTGATCCAAATGCATCCATACATGCGGGGCCATTGGTATGCGCATATTTATCTCTGCATCCACATCAGCAGCAAGACATATTTACCGTTTAGATATGCACATATATTGTAAAAACACCCCTTGCCAATAGCAGTGTATATCTTGTAAGTGACATTTCCAGCGCTCCTCATGATTTCCGAGACACCGTCGCTCTTCAGAACTGGAGTTTGTGGCTGTTTGTTTATTTTTATTTCCTCCCTCCCAGTCTCAATTTTATGGCCAGATTTGTTAAGTTTCTATAAAATATCAGTTAAGTTTATGGCATTTTTATTTGTTATTGTTGTTATAATTTTCTTTTGGTAGGGGAAGGTGGGATGAAATGTTGCTCAGCTGGGGGCAGAGCGATAGCAGTGCCATGCCAGGTGCTTAGGGATTCCAGAGTCCTCCTTCCAGCTCTGCCACTTGATTATTTGTGTGATCTCAAAGATTTCTGCTCACTTCAGAGGAGGAGGGAAATATTCTCTGCTTCTTGTGAGCAGTAGCTGCAGAGTCTTTTGGTTCTCAGCCATGTGGGATACAAAGCTGCATTACCGCCCTGTGCTTTTATTAAGGTGGTCAAGGCAACCCCTCAGAAAATGGGGTCGGAAGCGTCTTTGTGTGTATGTGAAACGTGCCTATCTTCACGCCTAAAGTTGAGCACTGTCAGGATGGGCTGGCCCCAGTCTGCCTGCTCATTTCTCTAGGTTTTTTGCCTTCAAAATAGCAAGTAACCTGAAAGGTCGGGAAGTGACAGGAGCCCTTTGCCAGCTGAGCAGAGGAGGTGCTGGTTACAGCTGCCTCCTGACTAGTCCCGGTTATTTCACGCAGCGCTGTGGGATTGCTCTCTGGAACAGGTTGGGCAGGTTGACAGCGAGCACAGACAATGAGCTATTCCTGGCTTCGCTCTTTTCAGGCACCAGTGGGTGGGAGGGTCCTGATCCAAGACTCACTGTGCTCAGGATGAGCCTTTCTCTTGACTGTCTTGGGTGTTGTATCTAGCAGTGATGTTTCTGCTTTCCTTTGATTCTGAGAACTGCCAGCACCTGACAAAAGAGCCGGTCACTAAGAGAGCAGCAGAGAATGTAGTGAACATGAAGTCTCCAGCATAGACCTCCCACCTGTTCCCTGACCTTTGTCCTTCAGAGGAGCCTTCCTGGTGTACCTCCAGGGCACAGCTGGGACCTGTCCCTGTTTCTTCCCTCTCCAGCAAAGGGAGGGGGATTGCCAGGCATTTCTCAGAGTGTACGCATGAGCCATAGTTGGGCAATTCCACCAGGACTGTGGTTGCCAGTCTGCCAAGATGGAAATGGCAGTGTAGATGATGAGAGAATATTTGGGACTGGAGCTGAAAGCATAGCTGACCTGGGCCCCTGAAGTCTCTCCTTTCCAAGGCTAACGTCATGTATAACTAAACCTTGCACGTTGAGCTGTCTCACACTTAACGCGCTGATCTGCACGATAAATTCTGAAATAATCCCATAAAACCTTTTTATTTATTTTTAACCCCCTTGCTGCCTTCCCTGCCTTCCAGTTACATGATGGGTTTGTTTCTTCTGTTAAGTGGTTGAGGAGGTGCTCAGATAACTCAAAGCTGGAAGCATAAAACTTTTATTTCTGCAAAGGCGGGATTTATTTTTTTCTTTTCATTTGAGATTTTTTTCCTCCTGATCCCTCCCAGTTGTCTTCACTGTTACAAATTTTTAGCATAACATTGACGACTGGTGCATGCAGTGGGGAATTTGCTTACAGAGCTTGTTCTTTTGGGGCAGCTGGCCCAGGAGGGCTGTGACACCCTCTCTCACGGGCCATCGCAGTGAAAGACTTTTGCCAGCCTGATAGGCACTGGGAGTCTAACCCAGGTGCCTTCACATTTTTGTGAGCCTTTGCTCCTGGTTCTCTGCAGTTCTCACCAGTGATGGGTTCCTGATGTCCTGAAGGCAAACCCCATGCACTGCCCCCTCGCAAAGCCCCCTGTGGCTCAGCCAAAGCTCCAGCTGTGGGGCTGGACGGGCTCTGGATGTCTCACCCTGCAGGGAGCAGGACGGGCTAGAATTACCCTCCCTGTTCTGGGCTTCTCAGCATGGGCTTGGTTTGCCTGCTGCAGAGGCTTCTGCTCTTGATAGCAGGGCTTGTCTGGGTAATTCTGGTCTCCAGTGCAGTCTGCTGGGTGAACACCTCCAACAACCGAGATCCTTCAGAGCTGTCTGAAGGATTCCGACGCTGTCCGAGTTCTCCAGGCTGTGTTTTGTTTGTCCCAGTCAAAAGCATGAAGAATCCTTCCTCCAGCTGAGGAGCTGTTGAAGAATGTTCTTGGCATTGAGCTGTAACAACATGTGGCTTTGAATAACCTCAAGAGTGCATCCTTTTTTTTTTTTTTGCTTGCTCTGTTCTTCATACTACTAACCTGACTGTGTGTTTTGTTTTTGTGGTTGCTTTGCATGTTGTTCCTTCCTCTTGGCTGAGAGTCATGGGGTGGATCTTTTTCCTTTCTGTGATTCAGGTGCCTCACTCTTTCCTTTCCAGGTTCTTCCAGTTCTTTTAACATGTCAAACTCTGGAGATTTGTTCATGAGCGTGCAGTCTCTCAATGGGGATTCTTACCAAGGGGCCCAGGTTGGAGCCAACGTGCAGTCACAGGTAGGGACCCATCCGATGTACTGCCAGTGAATGCATTAGTGTTGGAGGAGCCTTTGATTGTATTGGCACTTCTCCCTCCCGTCTGAAAAGAGCAAATCTCAACCAGCACAAATCAACCGACCAACACTTGAAAAAAGGCAAACCAGACTGAAAAAACAACCAACCAAAAAAAAAAAAAAAAAAAAAAGTGACAGGAACAACCACCAAAAAAAGAAAACAAAAAAACCCAAAAAAACCAAACAAACCAAAAAAACAATCCAAAAAGAAACCAAAACCAAACACCCAACCAAACCAACAACCATGGTCTTGAGGAGACTTGCCCACACTTTGTGAATGCATTTGGCTCTGGCTTGATAGTCGTACTAGAAGGAGAGAAGGTGTAGAAGCGTAGGCGCAAAGTCAAACAAAAGCAGCTCAGGTTTAGGTTCTGCTTGCTTTATTCTTCCAAGGGTATGGGCCAGATGTTTGGACTGGTGTCTCGTTTTACAAGGCTTCCACTTACTCCTTTGATGCCAAACCAGGTGTCTGCTGAAAGGCAATAAATGTTCAAATATGTAGGTAATTTTTTTAGCTTATTTTTTTTATAATTAAAAGACACCCTTGATCATCTCCCCACCTCCCCAAAACACAGGCATTCACACCATCCCTGTACCTACCAGGAGGAGAGAGCAAGGGAGCTTTGAACAGCATTGCTGAAACGTCAACCCATGCTTGGGGCAAAAAGAAAGAATTTAAAATAGCCACAACCTCACTCAGATCTCCCATCTGATGTCCAGATATGCCATGAGTCCCCTCTCTGGCATCTAAGGCTCTGTTCTGTGCTGAGAGACGACAGCCACTCTGACACTTCTGCATTGGGCAAGGAGAGCTCTCTAAAGCCGAGGCTGCTCCCCCATGGGGCTGCATGTGGAGCACACATCATCCATGGGCAGAGATGTGCCCACCACATGTGCCACCGCTGGGGTGGGGCTGGGGGTGTGAGGGAGAGGAACGGGGCACCCAGAGGAGAGCTGCTGGTGCCTTTGCCATGGTAGGTATATTTCCTTTCTGGGCCCTCCACAGTGAAGGCGCTCAGCCAACTCCAAAGATCTCCTTCTGCTGCCGTGAGCAGTGCTTGGGATCAAGGGTGGAAGGGGGAAGGGGAAGGAAGGTGGGTCCTGGAGCACCATGGTGGAGATGGCTGCAACAACGTGCTCCAGGAGATGTCACCCCCACTTGTCACGCTGTTCTCCCTCCCTACTCTTTTTGTCAAAGGGCGTGGGACCAAGGAGATTGTGACAGGGCTGCTGGGATGGGCAGGGGATGGCGAGGGAAGCAGGAGAAGTCCTCTGGCTCATCTCTCTCCACAAGACCAACTGCGGCTCTCTTTTATCCCTCTTCGAATATATACCTTTATTTTTATTACGGTTTTTATTATGATGATGGCCATGCTTATTGTTATTACTGTTTGTTTGCTTTTATCTTGCCAAAGATGAACGGAAGCAGCTTTGGCCACTAACCTTTCCTTCCCTCTAATTTGTGTCTTTGTTGTTGTTGGTCTGTTTAGGTGGATACCCTTCGCCATGTTATCAGCCAGACAGGAGGATACAGTGACGGACTCGCGGCAAGTCAGATGTATAGTCCGCAGGGCATCAGTGTAAGAAAAAAAAACAGGCTTGGGTTCTGGTCTTTTGGGTTTGGTTGTTTTTTTTTTTTTTCATTTTTGTTCTCTCACTACCAATTATTTCAAAGCCATAGGGCTCAGAATGCCACTTAGTAGGACTTGTCTTTGCTTTTACGGTCACCTAGTTTATTGCTTCTGTATCGGTCACGCCAGCGGCGGAGCTTTGCCCACAAAAAAAGTGGCACCAGGGCAGGCTGCGTGCAGGCAGCTGGCGTCTCGGACTGTCACAGCCCATCAGCGTTCGCCCGGCACCTGCGGCCACGCGCGCTCGGCCGAGGGGAGCTGCTAAACAGGTGACACCTCGTGTCACCACGGTGGGGACTGTCACCGGCCCAGAGGTGCCTCCATCCTGGTGGCACCATCCTGGAGCCGGCCGGATAAAAATAACCCGTCCGCGGTCGGCGTCCCGGAGCGCGGCGGCGATGGGGTCGTGAGTAAATGAGGAAAAAAGCCACAAAGCCAACCAACGTCAAGCCAAGGAAACCTCGCCCAGGCGGGCTGGGGGAGGATGCGAGGGGGAGGGCGGTCTCTGGAGCATCTTCTCCTTGTTCTTGGGTGCGCTGGCGGGTTCTGACTAGCATGAAAATTCGTAGCGACAAGCTGTGTCGCACAGGGGGAAATCGATCAGACACACACAAGGAGAACCCAGTGTAGATTCGGGACAGCAATCCAACTTCATTTCTCAGATCAATCGTCCACCATCTCAGCGGCGGTGACAGCAAGCTGGGAGAGGAGGGCAGCCTGGAAAAGGAGGCTGTGAGCGCTGAGTGGGTGGTGGCAGCGGTGTCCAGGGTGGCACAGAGGAGGAGGCAGCTGGCCCTGGACATGGGGACGCTGATGGTTGGAACAGGGTGGTCTTGAACTGGTCAGATGATCCTCTGGGTGGGATGCTGGTCCTGCACGGTGCACCAGCCAGTCCCATCACTCTCCAGCCCACTGGACCATTTGTCACCTGGCGTGTGACCATCTTGCAGGACGGCCACCACCAGCGTGCAGAGAGGGGTGCCCTGGGACGGGGGGCTCTGCTCCCCTCTCCTGCAGGCACCAGGGCTTAGTGGGCGGCTTGACGTCAGGAGGCAGAGGCAGGGAGGATTTGTGAAGTAATGTAATTGAACATGTGCAGATAATTATGTCTCATTACATAAGCCCCTTGCAAAAACGGCACTTGGAAATGCCACATGAAAGAGCCTATCGTTCCGCATTAATTTCTCCATGCGCTGAATTTATTCCCTTTCTGGCTTTTTAATACTTGGAGAGTAAATGAATCGCAGGCTGATCATGATAAGAGATGATACTTTTGTATAAATTAAAATACCCCCAAGGAAAGAGGCTGAGCTGATTACAGTTGCAGTTGGCTTGGAAAATAACAGTGGGCTGGGTTAAGCCAAAATTTGGCGGGGGGGAGGGTTGCTGCCGGGGATTATGAGGCAGGGAGAGGAGAAGGAAGAGTGAAAACTCAAAAGCTGAATAGGACAAGGAGAGCTGGGTTGGTGTTTCTGGCTGTGTTTCTCTGTGGGAGAACCAATGTTCCCATGAGTAGCAATGAGAACTGGTGAGCTGAGAGTGGCAGGGGCTTGGCAGTTCCCCCTGTGCATCCCAAATGGGGACCTGACATGTTTGGCATCTGATGTCTTCTCGGGCTGGTTTTCAGGGAAGGCAGGAGCCCAAACTGACCCGTATTGGATGCTGTCAAGAGAGGGGCAGGTTGGCAAAGGGTGTGGGTGACTCCTCAATTCCCCATAAAGCTGTGGTAGGCATGGGGAATGAGGCAGTCCAGAGCTGAGCAGACAGTTCAGGAAGCACCTCCTGGCTTGCCTGTTTGTTTCCCCTGTATCCCAGTCAGTGAGCTCCAGCCTGATTGTCACTTAATGTCTTCTCATCCAGCGAGGTCCCTTGATGGATACCAGTTTGTCCACCCTGAAGTGTGGCTGCCCTTTAGGAAGCGTTGGTGCTGGGGAACTCCTCATTGCAGGCAGGGTGACTGTCTCCAGCAGGCAGGAAAGGCTTCCCTGCCTTTCCCTGAACCCTTTCATGCTGAGGAGGGGCAGCAGAACACGGAGCAAAGCTGATAGTGACACAGAAAGCTGCCGTCCCCGCATCACCCGGGCGTCCCCGTGAGCTGCTGGAAGGAGATGAGCCGAAACCTAGTCAAGAGCCCTGTCACAATGATGTCTGCACGGGGCTGAGGTTAAGTCATCCCTGGAGCCCGTCAGCACCGGGAAGTCAGCGGCAGGTTGCCCAGCTCCACTGCTGGAAACCTTGGCAGGGGAGACAACGCTCGGGGTTTGCCTTCCTTGATGGAGGATGAATTTTTAAATGATTGTAAGTGGTGACAGCTGAGAAGAGGGATCTACCCAAAGCCCAGTTCCCTGCGTGGCTCTGCTGCTGTGGCTGACAGGCTGCTCTGCAGGGCAGCAAGGGCTGGAGTGGGTTCTGCATCGTTAGCAGGATAATGGGCAGTGTCCCAGCCATCACCAGCACCGTGACCCACGGCTGTGGCTGAGGCAGAGGGAGAGCAGAGCCTTCTCCTTCACAGGTGGGGACAGAGCCGCTCCCAGCAAGGGATGGGGATGCTCTGATGCTCTGACAGTGGAGGGAGCTGTCCTGAGGATACCCAGCCTTGGGTCACGCTGAGAAGAAGCAGGGACCTCCCCTCCTTTCAGGAGATTTGGGGTGTGAGCCACCCCTTTTGGCAGACTTCGAGGCTGTAGGGTTTTGCACCATGCAGTGAGAGTTGTTGAATATCTGGGCTGTCTGGACAGTGTTTGTTCACAGAAATCCACGTATGTATCCAGGAGGTCCCCTGAGACCAAGGATTTCAAAGCATCTAGGAAAGCTCAGGTTATGTTGGGCTCCAGCAGAAGTTGGATTTTTATTGGTACAGTCCTCTGGAGGATCCTACCCCAAAACATCACCTTTCCTGCCACTGCCCTATGGCTGTAAATCCACCAGGTGTTCTACTTCTCCCATATGCTAATGAATGAGTGAACTCTAGTCATCTTAAAGCCCTTTCAGAAATTTGGTTTTGGACTTAATTTAGTTTACAGACGATTTAAACGTGTAAAATGATGAGCTGTTCTTAAATTTCATCAGAGAGTGAAGGTTTTGTTTTAAAACTACTGCAATGCAGACCAGTGCCTGTTCACAGAGCAATGTCTGTGTGACCTGGACGTTGGTGGCCAGTGGCAGAGTGTGACAGGGAGTTTTGGACCCACTCTTGGATTGGTACAGAAAGAAGCTGAGAGCTCCTTACTTGACCTGAGATCTTTTGTTCTAGTAAGTCGAGCCCTGGGAAAAAAAATTGTTGCTCTGTTGCTCAGCCAGCTGCAGTTCACCATCACATTTTGGTTTGTGGTCATGGCCACCAGCTGGGGTGTGGAAGTTGGTCTGGCAGGGCTTCAGTGCACAAGCTCCATCCATAAGGGATGCCTTGGTGTGTTCTGATGGCCAGGGATGCCTGGCCATGACCCCTGGCAGTGGGTGTCCTGGCAAGGCTGGATCCTCTGGTGTGTGGTAAGACCTTCAGTGGATATTGTAAGGGGGTCCTGATAACAGCTCTTAAAAGTTCAGAAGTCTGAAAAGGCTTTGAGGCTGCTCTGTCAGGCTGGCCAGTACCTGGTGTGTTTGGAGGCTGACCTGAGCCCTGTGCCATTGTTGGTGGGACAAGGATTTGGTCACAGGAGGTGGGGTGCTGAGACAGCCTCTGTGCTAAGCAGAAGGCGCCTTTAAAAATTGGCAGAAAGTCATCTCCCAACCCCACGTAGGAGGCCCGGGCAGGGAGCCAGCTAGACTTGCTGGAGGTGACAAAAATGCTGAGACCTGTGGAAATGGGCACCAAAACCAGTTGCTTCAGCAGTCTTTCACTGGGGCTTCAGACCTGGGCAGTCACCAAGGCTTTGCCTGTGCTTTGGCACTAGAAGGTGACAGCTGAAGAGATGCCCTGGAGGCCACTGCTCTGTCTTTGGGATCTTCCCCTCCTGAAGAAGTCACAGCCGTGTGCAGGGGCTCTGCAAGGAGCAGCAGCCTCCTCAGAAGACTCCCTTGTCTTTGAGGGAGATCACAAGTGATTTACTACAGTCAAACCCCAGGGGATCTCCTTGCTTGGAGGAGGTGGAGCCATCTGGGTGGAATTGGATGAATCCTGCACGTGGTTTGATCCATGCAGCGATGGAGTGAACTGCAGGATGAGTGGGGATGGTGCCTGCATGCCCTCTGCCTGGGGAAGGATCCAGCCTCCTCATGGAGGACTTTCCCATACCGAAGGATAGTGTCAAGATGTCACAGCCAGCCTTGGGTCCTCCTTTCCATCACTTGACCCACTGGCCTCTCCCCAGCATTCCCTTGACTTCCCACCTTGGCTTGGATGCGACCAAGATTGTGTTCAGCCATACAAATTCCTGAAGGTTCATTCCCAATCTGCAGTACCTCCCAAGGATTTTGGGGAGCAGGGTGCTGATTGCTGTTCAGTTCCTTCTGTGGCTGGCAGGCAAAAGCCTGGCTAAAAATAGTTGAGCACAATAGGGCCAGAGCCCTGCTCTGCACGGCCCCCGCCACTCTCCCCCCTCCTGCTCGCCGTAACGACCCTGCAAACACTAAATGGCATCTGAGTGCATTAAGCAGCAAACTCTCCGGTGACATAGCAATTACGGCTCTGAAATAGATTTGGTGCGTCACGGAAGATAAGGGTTTTGAAAGTTTCTGTTGTGATTATAGCTTGTAACTCCAACAAATAACAGGCTTGGTAATAAGAGGCTGCCAGCACAGCTATTGTGGTTCTCTCTCACTGATGGCACGTAAATTGCTATTAATGTCCTAAGTGTACTTGAATATGCCAGTCTCGGGGCGGCGGAGTTGGCTCTGTGTCTCTCTTTACGCGGCCTGTCATTGTCGGGCTGATAATCTACAGTAATTGCTGCCTCTTGCAGCAGTCCAAGATGTGTAAGGGTGGATATTGCATCTCTGGAGCACAGGGATGGTGGGTCAGGGCCTGGCTGTGGGTGGGAGCTGGTGGGGGGCAGTGGGCATGGGGTACACGGGGCTGGTGATGCTCGTGCATCATCTGGTGCCGCACTTGCACCCACGGTGGAGCAGAGTGGGGTTTGCTAACCTGTGAGCAAGCTGAGGTCGTGATTTCTGCTTTCCTTGCTATTGCCTGAACCCCTCTGCTCCCGTGCACGTATGGAGGAGCACAGAGGCACATCAAGGGGTGTGCACACACCTCTTGTCTTGTTTGCTTTGTGCGTGTCCCGCTGTGAGGTGGTCTGACTCCTCAAACGTGGGTTCTCGTGCCTGTCAGCCCTCTGCTCCCATCACAGCAGCCTGTCAGGCAGGCAGGGGCTGGGCAGCAGCACCTCGGGGTGGGGAGTTTTCCTACCCTCGGCCCTCTGGGGTGTGCAGGGTCCCAGCTGGCAGGGCCAGCGCTGGACGATGCTGTAGGACAGGCAGCCAGAGTGGGCAAAGCAGCCCGCGCGTGTCTAAAGCGGGACAGCGACTGCTGCCAACTGGAGCTTGGGCAGTGCTTGGGAAGGATTAATTAGCCAAGCACTGAATCAATGTCAGAGCAAGCAGAGGAGGTTGGGTGCGACATCTGCTCCTCTCCAAAGGGGATGGCAGCCGCAGAGGAGCAGCTTCTGTGCGCTGCCAGCTCCTGCCCGCGGCAGCCGGGGCCCTCCGGCAGCTCAGCACTCGAGCGCCTGGAGAATTTGGCTCTGCATCTGTTTTTAGGAGAAGAAACAAGTTGTCTGCCATGGTTTGCTGCATGAACCTTTGCAGGGGTGTAGTGGTGGCACCTCTGTTGCGCTGTGGCTCGGTTTACCTCGATGAGGTGGGGACGTGGAGCTTTTCTGGGGGACACAGCACAGCTCAGCAGTTCCATGGGACCCATTGTTTGTTCTGCATGTTCACAGCACTTGGGTTCAGATAACATTCAAGATGCTGGTTCTGGAGTGAGGTGTTTGCTGGTTTTTTTCTTCCGTATGAGGAAGGGTCATAATCAAAACCCCAAACAACCAGAGCTCGGGGTTCTGGAGAAACAGGTATTGGGTGTTTTTAAGGGATGGACTATCGGTGAGCACTTGCAGTTTATCAAAATCTGTTTTCAACAGAACTGTTTCTGCTCCACATCCCTGATGGAGCCCTGTGGTCTGGGGTGGGGTGGGGGAGTCAGAGGGGACATCTTTGCCTCTGACACCGGTCCCAGCTGTGGGACAAGCAGGTGGGGTCTGAGGTGGATGGGTGCCTTGGGCAGGGCTGTGTGTGCCTGGGCTGATGTCTCTGCCTGTCCCTTCCTTCAGGCTAATGGAGGTTGGCAAGACGCTACTACCCCATCGTCGGTGACCTCCCCCACAGAAGGCCCTGGCAGCGTTCACTCTGATACCTCCAACTGATCTCCCAGCAAATTGCATCCCTGGCTGAGCCGGCCCCGGCGGGGGCGGGAGGGGAGGGGGCCTCTCCTAACACCGCAGCAGTCCGACTGGAGGTGAACCCAATCAGCACACACAAGAAGACTCCTTCTCTTCTCTTCTCTTCGTCGGGATGCTTTTTTCAGCCAATCTGGACACTTCTTTATACTCTCTTCCCTTTCTTTTCTGGGTAGAAGCCGCTCTCCCCCTCCCCGCCACCCCCACAACACCACTCCCTTCCCCTCCCCACTTCCCACCCAAGGTAGAAGGATTTTAAGAGGAGGAAAAGCAAAAATCCACCACCACACAAACCGACCCCAGAGCAGTGTACAGCCTCATGCTGGGTGTCTTTTTGAGGAGCTACAAATGTACCTCAGTCACTCAGTCTTACTCCCTCGCTAGCAGGCAGCCCCCTGCCCCCTTCCTTTCACGCTACCTCTCCGTAGGGAATTGCCACCACAGGGAATCTGCTCCCGCCTCGTCTCCGCACGTCCCTCGGGTGCTGCAGGGACAGGGCAGGTGGCACAGCCCTCGTGCACGTAGAAGGAGCCAGCCTGCTCCCCCTCGCTTCCAAAAGGTACCGTTCCCATTCCCAGCCCCCGGGAAACTTCCCAGTCCCAGCCATGCTCGGCCAAGCATCCCTCCCTCTGGCTGCTGTGATCTGGATGAGCCATGAATCCCTGCTGTCCTGCCTGCCTGTTGCTGGAGGGGAGAAGAGGAGGGAAGGAAGGGAGGCAGAGGCAGGTGGGAAGCGGCCATCGCTGATAACAGAGGTGCTGACACCTCCACGGAGCTGTGTGGGATCAAGCATGGACAGCTGATGGGACACCAGCAGTTCTCTCACAGCACCTGGAGAGGCTGGTGGTGGAGTTCTCCTGCTCAGGGTGGTGTCACGGGGTGCTGGCTCCTGTTTCCAGGAAGAGCTGGGTTCTCCAGGTTTGTGCCACCCCCTGCATTCCCAAAGCCAGCAATGAGGGATGGGCAGCAGAATGCCAGGGGCTGGAATCACTGGGGTGAGTGTCTCGGGTGCTTTTGGTAGCACTTGACGCCACAGGTTTGCTCTGTAGGACGGGTGGCTGCCCCCCTGGGGGATGTCTGTGTGCTGAAGCTGCTGGTTTCACCCCAGGAGTCACCTGGGCAGTGGCCATGGAAGAACTCATGGGACTTTCTACCCAGCTTTTCTGGTCCACTGTTGGGACAAGCAGTGGTGGCTGGCAAGCGAGGCTTCATCCTGCCCCATCAGGCTTATGCTGGCAGGACATGGCTTTCGTGGAAGAGGAGGAAGAGGCAGCACCAGTTTCCCTGGGCAGCGGGCTGAGCTTCGTGCCAGGGTGGGACTTCTGGCCATCGGTTCTTTCTGTGGGCACTGAGCCAGCCTGCATCAAGACCCTGGGTGTGGTGGGGACTGGTGTGGGTGCAGGATGTCTGGCACCTCGTGATGGATCCCAGGATCCCTTGGGATCAATGCCTCAGGCTGTTCAATGTCCGTGCCCACCCTGCTCGCGCTGGCCTCGAGGTGGGAACTGCCAGCGTGGAGCAGCATTACGCAGAAACCATTTAAAATTAGAGCTCTGCCGAAAATATTTCCACCCTTCTGCTGGAAAAAACAGCGGTCCTTGGCCTGCAGGGCACAGTGGTGGTGTGGCCACAGCTGAAGCACGCTGTCACCTTGCAGCAGGGGCGTTGTGTCCAGCAGTGACACTTGCTGCTCCTTTTGCATCCGTGCCAAGAGTGGGGACCCTGTGGCAGAGCAGGATGTGACACGAGGGGATCTGGGCTGCCTCCCAGCCGTGTGTTAAGAGCATGGAGAAGGTTGTTTTCCTGCAAGGACAGTCGGGAGGTGCTGCCCACCTTCCCACTCTCCTCCTCCTCCTCCTCTTCCCGTGGCCTCCCTCAGCGCTGCCTTTTGTCCCATTCCAGCTTGTTTTGGAACAAGCCAAGCGTTCCAGGGACACAGGACTGGGCCAGGCTTCTTCTCCCGAGGGGCAGCAGTGCCATGCCTGTGGGAATGCCACCGTCCCTCTTGGAATCCAGCCAGGAATGAGCCAAGAGCACGGCGTGCTGGGGCTGCCCAGGCTGGGCCCTGGCTCCTTGCTCCTCCACGGTACTTTGCAAATCCCCTCCTGGGTTCCCCAGTCGGTCCCTCCAGTTTGTATTGCTTGCTTGCCTTTTTTCCTTTGCTTTTTTCCTTTTAAATTTTTTGGGTTTTGTTTCTCCTCCCCGTTCACCTCCCCTGCTCCAGCCCCGAGTGTTGTGGGGTTTTTGTTCTTTTTTTTTTTTTTTTTTTTAATGATTATTTTTCTTTTCTGCCCAGAAAAACCTGACTTCGATACCAAAAAAAACAAAACAAAACAAAAAAAAACCACAAAAAAAACACAAACAAAAAAAAAACCTGCAGAAACTCAAAAAAAATAAAAACGAAAAAAAAAATCACAAAAAAAAACTCGACGATTCTTTCAGCTTTATTAACATTTTCCATTGTTTCTTGCGATTTGTGTCTCGTTCTTTGTAGTATTGATGATAACGAACATTTGATAATGAATGTTCTTGTATATTCAGATAAAGGAGAAAAAAAAAACCAAAAACGCAGTCGGAATTTAATAGTGTTTATAATAAAAGAATAAAAAATGACCCTCTTAGCACGCAAAACTGAACAGGGGGAAGGTCCCATCCCTGTTCTTTCTGTGGCAACAAGCGCTTCATTCCTGTATAGTTTATAACATCAAACTACCTACATTCATCCTCCTTTTTTTTTGTTTGTTTGTTTTTTCCCATGGTTTGGGTTTTTTTTCCCATTTTCTCGCATTTGTGAATTAGTTCAAGAATGCTAGAAAAGTGTAGAGTTGTGCACACTCATTTCTTCTTACACAATGTTTAAAAAGTGACGGTAATTCATTTTGTAAAACTTTAAAAAGAAAAAAAATGGTTGGAATAGTGAGCATTAATAGGTACAGTCTAACACTTTATGTTTCTTAACGTTGAGACCCAGAAATGAACTTTTTTTTTTTTTTTTTGCATTATTTGGGTTGGGGGGGAGGGGGCTTTGATGATAATGATGATGATGATGATGATGATGATGAGTTTATTTTGAGACGATGGCCTTGCCGCTTCCCCTGCGCTTTTTGAGCTGTGACCAGAGTGATGTGAAAAGTGATGGTGGTGTTTTTTGGGAGGAATGTTTCTCCCCATTCCCTGAATCCCAGCTCCAGAAGATGCTGGTGTAGCTGCTCTGGGGCTGAGCAGTGGGATTACATCTCTGAAAAGGTGGAATTCCCAAGGGGTTTTGGGGAGGAGATGGGGAGCCAAGTCCTGAGCCCTTTTGGGTCTCCATTCTGGGGGTGTTGCTGAGCTGCCTGGAAGTGATGAAAGGGCAGGAATCCTTCCCAAAATGTTTTGATGGTTGGTTCTCTTCCCTGAATCCCAGTGTCCCAAAACTCAGGGATCCCAGAGCAAGGATTGTTCCAACCTCATCCTGCCCATGGATGAAGATGAGGTCTCGCAGCCTGGCCCCACCCCACAGCATCTGCATCTGTGCTGAGGTGGGACATGGCCAAAATGTCCCCAAATCCAGCCCCAGATCCCAGTGGCTGCAGAGTGGGGTTCAAGGACAAGATCTGATGGAGGTGCTGGTTGGCATCACTTCGGTTTTCTCCTAAAACATTTTCCTGCTCCTCCCAAAAAAAAAGCAACCTGAGCTTTTCACATCACTGAAAAAGGTTTAGGGTTTGGGGTATTACTTTTAATCCCAAGGTTTCCTGGAGTCCTTTTGTTTTCGTACACCTTTATTATTATTATTATTTTATTATTATTAAGAGGATGTAAATCAGACATTGCCTGGGGGGTTGGTTTTGTCGGTTTGCTTTTTTGTTCTTGCAAAGCCCTTTCTATCCCTTGTAAAGGTGATCCAGTTCGGAGTTGCTTTTTCTTTTCTATTTCTCCCCATCTTTTTTTTTTTTTTTTCTCTCTTCCTAATTGATTCCACATATTAAAAAAAAAAACTAAAAAATCAGCAAAAAATCCGCAAAAAATCCATTAAAAATAATTTTAAAAATCCTCCAAAAATCAAGAAAAACCCTCAAAAAAAAAGGAAAAAAAGACTCTCTGTTCCAACCTGGTTTTGAAACTTTAAGCTTTTCTGCTTCTGTAAAGAAAAAAAAAAAGGCCTCTGTCTTTCTGATCCCAATTGAAACTTTTATGTTCTATGACGATACTAACAAGGTGTAGGTTTTACAGTTTCCTGATTTGTACTGGTAATGCATATTCCAAATAAATAGTTTCTTTTGTTGCAAAAAAAAAAAAAAAATCAAAAAAAAAAACCCTGAAACCAAACCTGGTGTATTTTTTGGGGAGGAAAAAGAAGAAAACAAGGTACCCTGGGGGTTTCCCCATGAGGTGCAGGGGGCAGGAAGGGTTTGGGGTGCAGAGGTGGGGGTGAACAAAGGCAATAATTACCCTGCTGCTGGGATGGTGTGAGCCAGAGGGATGTGATTTGGGATTCTGCCTGAGGCACTGCATCCCTGGTGCCTCCCCCAGTGCCTCAGTTTCCCTGGGCAGAAGGAGGCGAGTTCTGGACAAATGGATTTGTCCACGAAACAAAACTCCAACCAAAAAAATAGAAGAAAAAGGAACACAAAAAAAACCCCAATCAATGCGAGCTTTTACTGCTTTTTTGGACTTGTTAAGTGCACTGCTTTCCAAAAAAAGCTAGAAAGGAGATTTTTTTTTTTTTATCACACCAACGTCTGGGGAGTGGGGGAAGGCTTGATAGCCTCTCTTGTTTTCCTGGGGTGGGGAGGTCAGTTTAAAAAAAAAGGGGGGGAAAAAAACCCGAAAACGTTTCTGGGAAGAAAAAAAAGTAATTTTAAATTTAAAAATAATTTGCAATTTAAAAAAGAGCCCGTGCGTAGGACGAAAACCAGGACAGCTCTGCCCGGTCCCTCGAGATTTTAGATGGAATAAGGGGTGGCTGGAGGGGGTGGCCGTGATTCCCAGACTTCCAGGCTGGAGAAAAGCTGGATCTGTGTCTCAGACACCTCTGACACCCCACGGGCGCCCGGATCGGACGGGAAGAATCCCCTGGGGAAGAATCCCCGGGGAAAGGCAGCGCGGGGATGCTGGAGCTGCCGCGCTTCTCCCGCATGGATTTCTTGTCAATGATTATTCCATCTCCAGCCTGACCTTTCTCTTCTAAATAACACGGCAATATCAGCTCGGGCCAGCCTGCAGCTCCGGCTGCAAATTAACTGTATCGCTCTCCGGCAGAGCCCCCCGGAGCTCCCCGGCGCCCGCCCCAGGAATTATCTCCCTCCGCCGCCGCTCTCCTAATTCCAGTTTAAATATCAGCCTGCTCCCAGCTGTTCCCTTCTCATAAACGCTCATCCCGGCTCCAAACACACAAATGTTAAGTCTCCCGCTAAGGGGATGGCCCCAGCCAGGAGGGAGGGGATGCGCCGATGCTTTTGGGGCTGGGGGGGTTCTGTCATAAATCCTTTCGGGGCCGTCAGCACCCGGCTGCTCTCCCAGCTCCTGTGTTTGCCAAAAACGGGCGGATTTAAGGTGGGAAACCTGGAGCCAGGTTGGGTCCCTCTATTCCCCCTCCCTGGCTGCTTGCGGATGAAAGGGCAACCCACAAATACCAAAATTCGCCTCTTCCTTGCCAATTTGCCTCATCAGATGCCATCTCCATCCCCTCTCTGCATCCTCATCTTTTCCCTTCTCCCCCCTGCCACTCATCCGTAGGATTTTATTGTTTTTTCCCCTCTGTTTCCCTCGTTTCGGGCAACCAAGTTCAGCAAACCCCCGAGGTGCAACTCCTGCACTTTTCCATTTCGCACTGCAATATTTTAGACCCAAAATTGCGGGGGGGGGAAAAAAAAAAAAAAAAAAAGGCACGGCACACACCGAGCCGCACGAAATTGGCACAGAAGGAG